TTCCTTCAGAATCTAAAAGACAACAGAAAAAAATGTTTAGATTTAAAAAACAATTTTAAACTATAGATGTATGTCAATTTTACTAGGTTATGTAGGAAAAATAAATTATATTTTAAAATTGAATGTATGTGTWTAAAATAAAAATACTTTCATATTTTTTTTAAAAGTAAACATATTTTTTAAGCCTTATTGAATACAAAAATCAAAAATGTGTTTCCTACATAACCTAGAAAATTTGATGATGAGCTCATACATATTTTTAAAATTATAATCGGACATCGGGAAGTACATAAACTAATCTTCTGCTTATTGGTCTAAAACTACAAAAAATACGGTGTGCTCCAACAGCCTTAATATTGCATATTTAGTACTTTTTGAATTTTTTGAAAAATACATTAATTCTTGACTTTTTATTTCTAATCAATTCCCATTTCATTGATTTTGGCCTGTATATACAATTAAGAGCGTTTTCAAAAGAAATACAAAAATTATACCTCAAGTATAAAACAAGTATTCCCTAGCAGTTACAGTACCTATATACCTAGTGCTCATGTCGAGAGACTTTTTAGTACAGGTGGCTATTTGATGAAAAGTGTGGATCTCATAAGAATTTTGGAATGGCACTTATATTAAAATTCAATAAATATTTTTATGAATAAAATATTATTACTATTTACTACTGCTAATATAATTGTATAATATACCTATAGGCTATATTTTTTATTATAACTTAAGTTCTAATAAAGTAACAACTGAAATTATTTATTAAATCAAGAATGTGTTTAATTTAATTTTTCAATYATCATCAATCAATGAAGTTAGATAACTTATTGTTTACATTTTAAAATAAACTAACTTCTAACTTATACTCTAGCATAAGTTACCATTTTCAACAATCTAACYTCTAAGTTTGAAATTTGGAAAATTTCAGAGACTAACTTATCTTCTAACTTAGTTAGTTTTTATATTAAAGTAACTTAATTTGAAATAGTTGAAAAAATTACTTACTTGCCCAGTTTTGTTTCTTGGATACCAAGCTATGTAGGAATCCAAAGAAATTAATTATCATTTGATAATAGGTCTAGATTATTGAGGAGCAGGGGGCCATAGACATGGGCCCACCACGGAAATCAGACAATAGTGAGCCCCTATAGCAAACTAACCTAACCTACTAAATACAAAAGCAAGTAAACATTTTGTGTAAAAA